TACGGGATTTCTTAAAATTTCTATCATTTTGCCCCCTAAAATATACATATGTACTTGTTAATAAGAAAAAAAAATTATACAATCACAGTTTTTAAAAATAAAGGTGAGTTTGGGGTGCCTGGGTGGCTCAGTCGGTTGAGCGTCCGACTTCGGCTCAGGTCACGATCTCGCGGTCCGGGAGTTCGAGCCCCGCGTCGGGCTCTGTGCTGACTGCTCAGAGCCTGGAGCCTGTTTCAGATTCTGTGTCTCCATCTCTCTCTGACCCTCCCCCATTCATGCTCTGTCTCTCTCTGTCTCAAAAATAAATAAACGTTAAAAAATTTTTAAAAAATAAAAAAATAAAGGTGAGTTTTAGATTTTAAAACTGTGTACCAGACCTCACACAACCCCCCAGTCGCCAATGTATTCAAAGCCCCGCTACCTGCAGAAGAACTCTAAACTCTCATCACAATGGCTGCGGTGTAGCAGGGATTAAATAAAAAGATAAAATTCTAGATTTTTCTGTCTCCTATCTGATTGTGGGATAGGTTACACAAACCCATACATTCATGGAACCACACAGAGCTTCACAGCCCCCCCCAAAACAGTTAAAGGTAATTCCACGTAAAATTTGAAAATAAATATCTCTGACTGCAAAAAGGTTTCAGATGCTGTAAAGGAAACCAATACAAAGGCACCCCCTTCCCTGTGGTGCCTGGGTTGCTCAGCTGGTTAAGCGTTCGGCCGGAGTCGTGATCTCACAGTTCGTGGGTTCGAGCCCCGCGTCGGGCTCTGTGCTGACAGCACAGGGCCTGGAGCCTGCTTCGGATTCTGTGTCTCCCTCCCTCTCTGCCACTCCCCTGCCTGCACTCTGTCTCTGTCAAAAATATATAAATGTTTCAAAAACTTAAAAAAATTGAAAAAAAAAAAAAAAAGAGGCATGACCTTCCCTGAATGATCAAGTCTGCCTAGGTAATCTCTCAGCCCAGACCCCGACCGAGAAGTCCTGTCCGTGTTTCCGTGTCAAGTGGGGCGATCCCTTCTGTGGCAGAGTCCTTGCAAAGATGTGGCACAACGACAGAAGATGGCGCTGCACACGGGGATGGCGGCTGGTGAGCCGCGTCACCCCCACCACCTGAACAAAACCTCTCTCCAGGAAGCTCCCTCCTCGGAATCCTGCGTGGCGGCTGGTGGCAGCACATGCTCCATTATCATGCGGCACCGCACAAGATCTACCTTGTAGCTCACCCAGCCTCGGAGTTCCTCCTGGAGCCACGGGACGTGCGACAGAGCTAAAGGTGGGAGCGTCTGCTCAAACTTGACACCCCTGACCGGCCGGGGGCGGGGGCCCCCCCCCCCCCACACCTTAGCTCACAAATCCATCCTGAGAGTCTCAGGTTCATTCCGGTTTTAAGCGCAAGCTGTTTCTCTCCTCACTTGTTAAGTCAAAAAGACTTTCAGCCAAAGAAGTCCACAACGAAACCCTGAGCGCAAACATCTAACAATGTTAATTTTCAAAGCCCTGTGTTCCCCTCCCGCTTCTCAAGGTCACACCTCCCCGCTGAACGATTCCAGAGGGGTGCTGACATGGTACATGGGAAAAACAGTCCTATGAAGTCCAACCTCTAATAGGAAGAGCAAACAGCTCAGATGCCAGCCAGCCACGACAAAGGACCGACAAAGCCGAACCCGCGCGCCCCCCCCCCCCCCCGCCCATCCGTGAATATCTGCCTGTTCTGCCTCCTCGGAGAGGACGGATCACAAGACTGCTCAGAATAAGAAACCAAAAAAGAGCAGAAGCCCAGGAAGCAGCCGGGCCTGAATTTCACGCTGTTTCCAGAGAGTGAGCTGCCAGGCTGTGTCGGTGATCTGCACAGCGGGCAGGCGGCAGGCGAGGCTGACAGCTTGAGGGGGTTGTTGTAGGGAGACAGCTGCAAGTGTTCTCCTGGAGAAGGTTCTGGGCCCTGAGCTCCCGGGAGGCATTTTCAGCTCCCAAGCTGACCCTCCATTCACACAGGGGTTAAGAGCCTGTCAGCCAGCCCGGCAAGCGTGGTCTTTGTAGTTAAATCATCTCAAGGGGACCCACAGCTCCAGGCACGACCAGAGCCTGGGAGAGGGGAGAGAAGGGAGGTGACAGAGAGGACCCTTCCGCCCACAATTGCTGGCTGGGCTTCTGATCCAGGAAGCTAAATAAAAGGGGGACACCAGAAGAAAGAGCGTAGGAAGACTAGAATACCCTGGAGAGCAGCTACAGGAATCTCAACCTTAGGCACAGAAATGTTTCTGCCTCTTTTCCCTTCCTCCTCCCAGCTGGGCATCACGTGCTCCCTACTGTGTGCACTCCAAATGCAGATCAAAGCACAGTGGTGCCCAGTGTCTACACCACTCTCAGGCACAGGGGTTCTCAGTCATCAGAGGGCCCCTAGCCAGCAGCTGTAATCTCTTTCTAATCAAAATAAACAAACAAACAAAAAACCCTAACCAGCCCAAACCAGCACAAGCAATACACAAGTACGTATAAGACACAAACGCACACATTTACATATGTGCCTATTTACACACATACACATGCATATGCTTTTACAGCAGAAGGCAGGCAGGAAGCCTGTTCCCCGAGTCTAGAATCCCTTGCTTTTCCTCATCTGATTCTAGGGGCAACAGCCATTTCTGCTACGAGTTTTTTCTCCTGTGAGGACCGATTCCAGACCAAAATGCCACCCCTCCGGCGTGCCTCCCCATCCCACTCTACCAGCCCAGTGAGATCTGTTAACAATCCAGGGAACAAAGAGGGAAGAGAGACCCAAGCTGCATTCCGTGAAAGTGGGGTTAGATTCTATACTTTGATAAACCTCAGAGCCTGAACCTCTTTGCTCTCAGAGTGGCCAGGGTGCAGCTCTGAGCCTCTTAATAAACAAGTCCGCCTCTCTCCCCGCCACTAGGCACAAGGGTTTTCTCTGCCCAGCATCTATTCTCAGCCCCCATAAATCATGTTCCATTGTTTCAGGGAATCTGAACTCACGCTTAATAAACCATCAACCTCACCCCCCTGCCACCACCCCAAATTTCCCTCAGGGAAAGACGGTTTCCAGGAGAGAAGCAAATTCTTAATTAGGGCTGGGTTTGAAAAGCAAGCTTCCGCACAAAACAGAAAAACAAACCTGGGTCTAAAAACCATCATATAACCAACCACTATGTCTTTGATTAAAGTGCGGGACTGTGATTCTCAGGTCCAGGTGGGACTTCCGTGACCATCCGAAGGAAGCAGAATTTGAACCTAATGCCAAATGACACACGATCAGGTATTTGAGGACCACATCGGTGCTGCAGTGGCTAGATTAAATTGCTCTGATGCAGAATTTCTCCCAAGTATAGGTTACCAAGAAACATAATACTCCTTTAAAATTTACTTAGGTGTGTTCACCCTTCTCACACCAACACAGTCACGAATCTTATTCATAACCAGGCTTCACCTAACACAATTCCCCTGTTTCTCCTGGAGATGCAGGGAAACGAGCAGACATGTAGCTCATGTTCCGAGATCGTAACCTGGATCACGGCACTCACAGCATAAAGTCTGCTAAACCAGGGCTCCGGGTACACACAATTCTTAAAGAGCTAATTTAATGGACAACCAACCGCTGTCTGGGACAGGAAGCCCTTCTGACATTCTGGAAAACGTAGGGGGTTTCAAAGGATTATGCAGAGGGACGGGACTTTGAAAATTCCCAAACTCTTAACCGAAGCCTAAACGTGAACAGGTTCCGTTCCAAAACACTGCACAGTTCACTTGGACCCTGCAAAGCCCAGCTGGAGCTCAGCGCGTCCACACTGCAGCCTGTCTACACTGCAGCTTGTCTGCTGGAGGTGTGCAGACCACTCCCTGCTGACAGTCCGGCCAACCCCACCAGCCTACCAGCAGGCTGCAGCACTATGTCCAGATCCAAGTGAGGGCACCAGCCAGGGGTTGCGGGGGGGGGTCCCCTGGGCCTGCCCTCCTACCTGCTGTATTCCTGGCTGGTTGAACAATGATCAGGGAGAGCCACGGGAAAAGCCGCATCATGCCCAGTACGCCACTCCCTGGTCCTCAACAACACCGGTTGCACACTCTTCCACCCGTGAAAACGGTGGGCACAAATGAGGGCCTGCCCCAGAAGGATGCAAGGAACAAAAGCATCAGGGGCAGGTGGAACCGCCTGGTCTCCACCTCTCTCGGGGGACAGAGGCCACAGAGCTTCTGCAGGGTACGTAGAGACGTTGTAAAACCAACTCCCAGGAAAGGGCGCAGTAAAAGGGGACCTCGGGCGGCCACAGCTGCCAGCACGAGCGACCTCCAGACATCAGGAGCTTGACCATGACCATAGGGGTAAGCGGAACACACACACACAAAAGTGCCTTCCGGCATAAGAGCATACGCCTTAAGGCAGGGAAACTTGTCATTTCACTTTTCCCTGCTCTTGGCAAGAGATCCTGAAAGGCACGGACAGAGAAAGTTTCTCGGATTAACTGGAGAAAACACACACCAGTGAAGACACCCCGGAGGACCTCTCCCGAGGTTCTCACTGCTACTTGTCCCAGCCCTGGCACCTGACTAAGACTTGCCATGGGGCCATCAATACAAACTGATTTACCACCACCACCACCACCACCCCCGCAACACACACCCAAGCTGTATCAGCGTTTCTGAAGCCCTTTACCTAGGCTAACTCAAACGCACCCCTAAGGTGCGACCCCACAGGTGTGACTGGCTTGGCCACACCCAGCCAGAGAGGGAAGACACTCCCCACCACCCTCCACGTCCTTGCCAACCGCAGGGTGCCGGCGCCGGCCTCCGCCTCCTCCTCTCCACCCACGGGGAAGTCGGAGCCCCCCACGCAGTCAGAGCACTTTAAGTCCCCGCCGCCGCGGCCCCCTTAGGGTCCAGAAACGCACAGCTGCCCCCGGCCCACGGAGCGTCTGGTGTCCTCCCGGCCCGGCACTCCCGCCTCCCCGGGCCGCCCCCGCCCCTGCGGGCCGCGCCTTACCGCCGGTGTCCTCGAAGCGCGGGGGCGGGCGGTCCCGCAGCGTGGCGCTCCAGCCCGCGCCAGCCTCGTCCTCCTCGGCTTCCTGCGCGTCGGGAGCACCGGGCGGCGGCGGCGGGGGGCCGGGGCGCTCGCGTTCGTCGTCCGAGGAGGCGGCCGAGGAGGAGTGCGAGGCGGCCGACGTGCTGTAGAAGGGGTTCCCGCCGCTGTCCGGGCCCGACTCGCCGAACACGTCGTCCGAGATGTGCAGGCTCTCGTAGCGCGCGCGGGCCGCCTCGAGCAGCGCCGGCGCCCTCCTCCGC